CAAGATTGCTACAATGTGCAGGTGGGAGGGGAGGAGGGTGGGAGCGTGGGAGCGAAGGAGGGGAGAGGGGGTGGATTAGGGGGAAAGGCGGGTGATTGTTATTTAGGGAAGCCTTGAGGAAAGACCAGGCTGGCTTGATGGAAAGGTAAAAAGTCCTGTTCCATCGCCTCCGTCGCACAGATGCCCAATGTCCTCCTCACCGTTGCCCTTTCTAATCCCCATTTCATCTCGTCCTCCCCCTTCATCAACACCTAAGGTGGACGACTCCGCCGAAGCAGGGTCGAACGTAGCCGGGGTCCAGGACCTGATAGCGGGTGACGTGCATGTGCTCAAGTACCGAGTAATAAGACCTTTGGTGGGCAGTGAGGCGGTCGAGTTGATATAAAGCATTTTCCAAGGCCAACTTTGTGTGAAAAAAAAGAAATACAAATATTCTCTCTTTGTCGTACTTGTGACCTAGTCTGATCATCTCGCCTTATTTATGACTATCGGCTTATCCCCCTTGTAATTGCTCGAAAGTGAAGCAGAGGATGGATGTGGATGAAGGCGCTATAAATGGCCGTCCTTCTTTCTCCATATATTCGATTTTCTACACTCTTTCGCATGGTAACCTCACTTGGCATGATTCATGACGACGAAATCGGACGCCCGAAGGCCAACGAATTAACACACTGTTCTTGCAGGCTTTTCCCAGGCAGCTTCCATTTATTCACACGGGATTTCCAGCTGTATATACGTGGGCACGTTCATTTAGCAGTCATAATGAAAAATGCGTTGGCACGAGTAATTTCAGCGGCTCGATTCCCCTGGCCCGGTTCATTTTAGCGGCTCGATTTTTGGGGCCCGGTGTCGGCACTCGCCAAAGTCTGCAAGGAGAGAGGACATCGAAGAAGTTCGGCAACGCCGCCTCATTTCCTTTGGGGATGTTACCGTGTCCAGCCGTGCACGAATCAGAGGCACTAAAGGGGCCTGATGAGCGGAGTGTCCGATCGTATCTCCCCCGGCATGAATCCCTTGACCAAGATTGTCCCCCGTTAGAGTCTATCTAGCGTGCCCGAGCATCATCGTCCCATTATCGTCTCATTTCCTGCCCCCCTTTTTTACTTCCCTCATTTTCTTGCCAGGACCTTCCGTCCCTTCCCATCAGAATATGAGCTCTACGGGTGCTGGGTATGATGTGTCACCCACCACATTCTCGCCGGACGGACGACTTTTTCAAGTAGAGTATGCTGGCAAGGCCGTGGAGAACAGGTAGGGGAAGTGATGGGCAGGAAAACAAGGGGCGAGGCCGAGAATGCGCTTAGACGGGAAGGACTTTTTTGAACAATTTCTTCTGTTTTGAATGTTCAAGAATAATAATAATGTGTGCTGCTGCCATGCAGATTGTTCCTCGCTCATGCAAGACTCCATGCCCCTCCCCACGTCCATCCTCCTTCCCTCTGTTACCCTTGCTCACGCAGCGGCACAGCCATTGGCCTGAAGTGCAAAGACGGGGTCATTCTAGCCGTGGAAAATCTTATGCTCTCAAAGTTACTGGTGTCCAACTCGAACAGGCGGACATATAATGTGGGCTCTCACATTTCCATCGCTGTAGCAGGTGTGGAGGGAGGATAGGAGGGAGAGTAAAAGGAAGAAAAGCGACTCGCCGATTTCATAAGAGGAGGAACCAAAAGGCTTCCATTCACCTTCCATGCCGTCCTTAACACTATCCTACAGGACTGGTCTCGGACGGGCGGCAGGTAGTAAATCGAGCCCGGGAGGAAGCCGAGAACTACAAGGACAACTACGGAAGCGACATGCCCCCCACAAGTATGTCTTTGTATTCTTCCCTTGTCTACGTTCTGGCCTTATTAGGGTTACTATAATGGTGCATTTTCCTGTTTATTGGTGGCGGAATCAAGTGGACTAGCCCCCGGTCCCTCCGCCCCTTCTACCTCTCAATCCTTTGCCTTGTCTCCCTCCTTTCTTTCCCTTTCCCTCAGTCCTGGCCGATCGCCTCGCACAGTTTGTCCACTATTTTACCCTCAACTACTCCTTGCGGCCCTTCGGCGCCTCCGTCCTCATTGCTGGCCACGACGCCTTCACCGACAGCATTGAGCTTCACGTGATCGAGCCCTCCGGAGTCGCCTACGTAGGTCTTATGCTTTGTACCGGGACGTTTCAAGGAGCCTCTCTGGTTCATTCGATTATCTTCTAGCGCTTCTTTATTCATACCTCGTCCTTTCCATTGCACTTTTCCTTCAGCTCGTAGCTATTTCGTTGCTTTCCCTTGCCCTCTGTTGAATTCTCCATCCCTATTCCCCTTCCTGTCTTTTAATTCCCTGTCGCGTAATTGCCTCTAATGGTTCACTGCACTACTTATTAATACTGGCAGGCATGTTTATGCCTCCACGAAGATGTAGCTTAGCAACTCCATTCTCCTTTCTCTCCCCCCCACTCTCGTGTCCCTTCTGTCACCCCAGAAATTTTTTGGCGCGGCGCTGGGAAAAGGCCGGCAAGGAGCGAAGACAGAGATCGAGAAGCTGAAACTGACAGAAACCACCTGCGACGATGCGGTGAAGGAGATGGCTAAGATGTGAGCATGCGAGAAAGGGGGGAGGATAGGGAGAGAAGGTGCTAGTTCCCGTGGGGTAAGGTGTGCGTTTCGCATGGTTTGGAAAGGGGAGACTTAATCTTTCTTGTGCACCCACCTTCATTCTCCAGCCTGCACAAGCTCCACGACGAGAGCAAGGACAAGCCTTTCGAATTGGAGATGGCCTGGGTAACGGCAGCGAACGGCTACAAGGCCCAGAGGGTGCCCCGGGACATAGTGTAAGTTACGGGCGCCTTTTTGTTCCCCCTTCTTTCCTCTGTTAGACAAATGGGTTTTTTGGTGTATCAGTGTGGGTGCCTGTGAACGGTTTTACGGGTCAATTTAATGAAAAAGTGCCAATGTTGAATGGCACGCGTCGGCTGTGCAGACTTTGGCTCATACATCGCTTTCCTATCCCTCTTACGCAGCGCGGCGGCCGAAAAGTGGGCAAAAGAAGCCATTGAGGCAGAGGATATGGATGAGAGTGACGAGGAGGAGGGAGGTACAGCCCCATAGAGGAGACGGTCAAGAAATGGATGGGAAAGAAATTGATTGGAGATGGGCCGTGTGTCTTTATAGGGAGGCTTAATTGTGAAAGAAAAAAGAAAAGAAATCCAACATTAGAGAATTGACCCCTGTGATTTCAGTTCAAGCTTTTTATGAACACAAGAAGATGATATAATACCCTGGCTCCGCTTAGCCTCCACAGAATAGGGGAGGTTGGCCTGAGAACTGCACATCGAAAGCTCTTCAGGCACAACAAGACAACATCACTTCTTTCCAGACCACTTAAATATGAAAAGTTATTCTCTGTTAACACCGTCAAAGTAGTGCGGCATGCGGCAGGGTGTTCGCGGCATGTCAGATCTGTCACCCCCACCTCTCGCTCCATTAACGGTTTTCGGCTTCAACGGTTCCAAGTAACGGTCTGGGCTCAACCCTGCCCCTACGGAGGCATTCTCTGCCCTGGCCTGCTTTCACCTTCATGCTGGGAACGTGTGTAATTATGATTCATCTATGCAACAGGGGAGAATAATAGTTTAAGACGCACCCTCTCCCTGCATCCGGTGAGCCAGGTGCCTACACGGACCGCGAGACCTACTTTTGGGAACGATGGCAGCCCAGGTAATGGTATTTCTTCTCCCCTTCATTCTACATCGTATTCCTGTCCTTTTATTTGCTTGTATGTTGCCAATTACGGTTTGACAAGGTTCTGGATTCCTCTTTGACGCTATATAGCATGATGTCTTCTTCATGAATGCTGGATTAATGTCTCCTAAAAACACGTCCTCTTCTACTTCCGTCTTTGTACGGCTCCCGTGTCACAGGCCCGAGAGCTATTGAGGCTATTACGTTTGCCTTCCAATCGCAGTTGTGCCGACTGCGACGCCCCTCTCAACGACAGCACCAACGTTTGGGCTAGCATAACCCACGGCGTGTTCGTTTGTGTGACATGTGTCTCTGTCCATCGGAGGGTAGGTGGTGGGAGGATATAGATGGATGTCGGACATGGGCAGGGAACAGACATCCCAAGTGCCAAATCGTAAAATCAGGATCCTCTGGTGGTGGGCCTGGCTGGACACCTTGAGATCTCCACACTGCTCAATGATTCACTCGCCTCCCTCTCCTTCATCTTCATTCCGCTATATCTACTATTTGGTCTAGGTGGGCACTCATATCTCCCGCGTACGCTCGGTGAACCTGGATGTGTGGACCGAGGAGGAGACTGCCTGTATGCGAGAGCTCTCGGGGAATGGGGGCAATGTCTACGGTGAGGGGGATGAGGAAGGAGGGGAAGAAGGAAGTAAGGAGACGAGCGACAGGAGTTTTTGCTTGCTTGGAGACCACTGATGGCAACATTTCATTTATTCCCTCCCTCCCTCCCTCC